CTGGTTTAAATGTCGAAGGAAATAAATCTTTCTCATCTAGTTATTTCTGTGGTGGTAAGTTAACTTTGTGAGTATGCATACAACGACAAATCATTCATGTATTGTTATGCTAAATGGAATGCTATCCCAGGAGTGTTATCCCTTTACAGTTCCACACTATTTTGCGCATGAAAAAAATTTCGTAACAAAAAAGAGCATTGATGTGTGCTTTCAGAAAATGCGGTCTTGTTTGTCAAATATTTCTTTCAACAAAAGTAGCACGTTCAGTTCCCAGTTTACGTGCAACCCAGCAAAACGTAGACAAACTTATATTTGCATACGTGCTGAATAGCACATGCCCGGTACCATGATGTGTCCACAATGAAATTCTGACCTTGTTTCCAAGAAAAGTGTAAATTTTGTGTTTGTCTTCCTTGATGGAGACAGAAACTAGTTCAACCAATTTCATTTCATTGACTAGCCAAAGTGGCTAGTGGAAATCAAAAACCTACTAGCCAAAACTAAATTTCTACTGGTCTGTGGCTAGTTGGCTACTGCTAGTGACAAGCCCTGCCAAAGACAAGATATGGAGTGCACCAGAATTAGCAATGGGTATCATGATAGCTATCCTTTGTTTCCATAGTAACCCTGTTTCCATGACCACCTTACTGACATATGTAATATTTAAGTAATAGAAAACACGTACCGTGTTTCTATTGAGTTATAGAAACACGAGTGGAAGTTTGGGAGAACGAGAAATGCAGTGGGAACACGAGCCGCAGGCAAGTGTTTCCACAGCTTTTTCGAGTTCTCCCAAACTTTTACCAGTGTTTCTATAACTCTATAGAAACATGGAGAACATGTTTTCTATTTCTTTTAGAAAACACCGCGACGAAAAAAAGGAAAGCAACGTGTTAACTTTGATTATCAAAATGTAAATTCTCTTTGTTCATGCCATCATTACGTCAACAGCTTGTGCTAGTTCTGTGTTTCTATCGAGTAATAGAAACACGATTTTTAACCAATCAGTTCACATATTTTCTTAGGACTGTTTGCTAAATGTATTTGCTGCTATACTAGGTACAAAAAGAACACTACCTTAACTACAGAAGAGCATATTTTAAGGAAAGCACAGACATCTTCTCAAGCAATTCAAAGGACTTATCTAAGAGCGGTAAGTGTAAGGATACTGCCATCTTGTTGTTGCTTTAATTTTCAGTTGCATTACGTAATCTAGTAAGTATATTATGCTTATAAGGATAGCTGAGACTGAACAATAATGAATATATGTAAACAATAGCCTCCATTGGGAGCAAAAATCCGCTTCAATATTTGTCTGCGGACACTACCTGTTCCAAGAAGCGGACTGTTTTCAGAGAGCATAGCTCAACAAAAACTGTGAGCTTTGGGGAACAGGTAATAGGACAAATATCTGAGCATTATTGTCAGGCCACATTCAAATATTTTTCGCAAAAAATTGGAAAATCTTACCCGGATATTCCCTGTTTTAGCTGGGGAATGTTCAGTCATGTGATGCATTTAAATAAACCAACTGAGCGCTAGTGAAAATATTTGATGGATTATAAGCTATATTGAATCCCCCCCTCCACACCACTAGCCCTAGAAAGGAAATTAGGCTACTGGGAGTCCAAAGGATAGCTTTGGTCCTGCCAGGATTTGAACACACATACCTCAGGTCAGATCACCATTGCTCTAATATGAGTTAAGTCTGTTTCAAAGCAGCTTTATCTGACTAACTCTGAGAATGCCTATTGTTTAAGGTGATTCCTTAGTATTGCATTGCGCGTTCCTACTGCGCACAATTTTCACGTCATAAGCGTGCACACATGAGCGTGCGCGCATACAAAACATAAGAGATTTCCCTCAACTAAGCTCAATAACGAAATAAATGCTCTTTTTTTTCTTAAACGGACATGGTGACCCCCACTTTTTATTTCATAATTTCAATGAGAACAATACGCTCAATAACTGCAAGAAAATTAGCAGAAACCTATGGCTACTTTTTTGGCAAATGAAATAAACACTACAGAGGGAGACATGACAGGCCCAACGGCCCACATCCAAATTTAGTTTCCTTAAAGGATAAAAAAATGCAGGGTATTTGAAGACATTTTTTCTGAGACGTAGATGAATAAACAATCAAAGAAAGTCAAACTCTGTGTGATAT